TGTATAAAATAAGCGTGTCCTTTACTGTCAATTTATCTAGAAGATCTATAATATATAGACTATACATATATATATATATAATATAATATATACAACATAGCCAAATGTATGAAAACTTGACAAAATATAATTTGGAATTCACATACTAACTACATAGTTATAAAATGAATTATAATTTCATAAGATTTTTCCTTTTCATCATTTTTGACACAGTTTCAGATATTCTATCAGGTTATTTCTACTCTTTTTTCATTTCTTTCTTTCTTAAAAACATTTCTAACTAGACCAGGCCCCACTGTAATGTCACCCAAGAGAGAGTCAGGGCAAAGTTTTTGCATTTATCAAGCTATTTTCCTGTAAGAGTAATTGTAAGGGACTTCAGTGATAATGACAGCAAAAGTTTAGTAACCAAGTATTGAAAGAAACTTCTGTAGAGATTGGAGTGTCTTATAGCTTGTGGAAAAATAGAAAGTTACAGCTGGATGCAACATTCTTGTTTGCTTGGAGGAATTCACATACATATAGCTGACCTGACTAGTACTTCAGATCTCAGACTGCTCTTCCACAGCCTTCTGTAAGGTTCTTTATTCTGCAAAAAAAAGAAAAAGAAAAAAGAAAAAAAAAAGGAAAAAAGAAAACAAAAAAAAACAACAAAACACAAAAAAACCAAAAACCCACAAAAATTAAAAAAAAAAAACAAAACTAAAAAAAATGCAAAACAGAAAACAACAAACAACAACAACAAGGAATTCAACCACAAAATAGTGACTGTTATTTCAGTGTGTCCTTCACATGAAAGCTATGAAGGACCAAATATATTACTGTGTGTGAGAAGAAACTACTTCCTAAACAGTAACTGAAAATAGTTAGAGTTAAACTTGCTGTGGATTTTGTCTTGGCAGTTGTCATCTTACATTATTCGTCAAAGGAAATGTGTTTGGCAGTTAAAAATCTTTCCTTAGATTTAGTGGTGGACTTTAACCTCTTAAATAAATGTTAGTATATCAGATTGTGTCCTTGAAAAATATTTTACTTGTATGAGTCATGACAATGTCGAAATCTTTACTCTTCTTCTGGCAAAAGCATCAGTAAGAGAGAAGGTGGGAAGGAGAAGTATAGCCTTGACATCAGAAAAATATTCTTTTTAGCTGCTTACTTTCTCATGAGAAGTAAAGGTGTTTACAGTGTATGCCGAGATTTTCAGTTTCTATGTAACAACAGTTAGAGGTTCTAATCATACTGAAAATTGTGTTATAATGGCCCGAGCCATGTTGCTAAGAAACAGTAGGTTCCAATTCTGTATTCCTGCTTTCACTCCTGTGCTGAAAAGTGACTGGATACTGTACAGGTTCATGTTCTCTGGCTGCAATTAAATGGTCTTTTGCATTTTTCTACAAGAGCATCACAACAACATGCTGTAAATATTTAAAGTTAAACATTATGTGTCGATATTTGAAAGAAAAAAGTACTTTGAATATTTCATTTTTAAAAAATAAAATTGCCAATGAATACCGTGTCCCATTTTATTCACGCGCCAAACTGCATTCTCCAATCAGCCTGGTCACCTGAGATATGAAAAGCGAACGATAAAAGAACAGCATCTTGAAAATGTAGGTGCAGAAATCCGAAAGGCACTAATCCTAAGGAGATGGCCCTTCATTTTTATTTTTCATACAAATAGGATCTCTGACACACATGGCCATTTCATAAAAAAAGAAGAGTGGCTGTTGCAAGTTTAAACACCTCTAGGCTATGACTTTTAAAAAAGGTTTCTCTCTCCTGTCAATGCCTTTCTCAGCACTCGAAAGAAAACAAAGAATTGCAAAACACAGACAGGAGAAGTAGGAGACCAGGACACCCAAATGCATTGGGAAAAAAAAATGAATGCGTGGAGAGGCCCTCGTGAAAGAGAAATGAAGAGACAGACATACAGATAGATAGAAAGAAAGAAAGAGAGAGAGAGAGAGAAAAAAAAAAAAACAGCTCTTCTGTCCTGGGCAATTACTGAGACCATTTGACACTTGTTTTCCCCAAGAGGACATTTATGAGCGGCCCGGGAATGCTGGCCAACAGATCTCCCACAACTGAACTTGATAGTAAGGTGCATCCACAGCCCAAATGCCCTGTTACGGATATTTGCTCGGAATCCTGAAACTCACGCCAGTCTAAAATGTTCCACTGCTCTTTTTCTTCACTGATAAATACACACACCGTGATAAAGACACAGTGGAAAGATTCATGGGCCAGAAGGCAATTCTGACTGTCTCCATGCAATCCACCAGCCCAAAACTAGGGGAGGGGGGCGGCGGATGCTAATACCACCTCCAAATATTTTCTTCAAATATAGAGAGAACAAAAAGAAAGAGGTGAGAGCTCTGGCACTTTAAGAGATCTCTGACTATCACTGCTGTTTCAATATTTAGTAATACGACTACTTTAAATGTTTTTAATTTTAGTGCCTCGATAATCCAGTGAGGTCAGTAAGAACTAATTGTTCCTGCTGGGCAAATGGATAATAGCAACGGACCACTTACCTAATGTCACGTGGACAATCTGTGGCCAAGCTGAAAAGGAAATTCAAGTCTCAAATCTTATGCTGATGGCTCTCCCCTATCCATCAGGTTTGTTGTATCTTTCTGCATAAAAATATGCATTGCAAAGGTGATGAAGGTTGCTCAGTGACCCCAAGTTATGAAAGCATCCAAACTGGGTACTTTAACTTCACGTGAAGCTGCAAACTACAAAATTATGGCATCCCATTTATTGCAAGGGCAAACAGAATTTATAGCCCACTAGCAGGAAAACTAGGCATCCTGTAACCTTTAAATGCTCAAGGTCAAAGCTGGGCCCTATTATTAATAGGCTGTGGATTCTGAATTACACAATGAATCAAAACCTAAGTTGATGTCTAAGCATTCACAGTGGATTTTAAGTTGTTCCTCACATATTTAATTCTCTACCCATTCCACCAGAAAGAATATCTTAAATCCAGTCCTCTATTTATAGCAAAAGACTTAATTAGAGGCATTCTCTGTAGAATTATTCTACCTATGGACCACAAAGGGACCGTTGGCTGTAGCAGCCAATCAGACCATTACCTAAGTTGTCTCCCAATGACCTTGTCCCTTCAGAACAAATTTTCAGAGGAAACAAGGTTTTGATAAACTGCCATGTTCCTGGTGGGCTTGTTGACACACTTGGAAATATACGTGCATTTTTCTAACTTGACTCAGCTTCTTACAGGGATGTTAGCATGGCAATATGTTCCATATGGTAACGATATGACCTTTCTGTAAAGTGCAAACTATTAGGTACTAGGAACCAGCAAGGATGTTCAGGCTGGTGGGAAAAAAAAATGAAAAACCATTGATGAACAAAAATATTTATATATATTATACTTTATATATATGTAGGTTGCATATATATATTTTTGTTAATACATAAAAATAAAAGGTCAGCAAAAGAAGACAGTGGATAGATGCATTAACTAGAAACTTTGACAGCAAAATCAGAAAAGCACTTACCTTTTCAGGGAGTCAGTTCCATAACATATATTAAGTGGCCTTCAATGCTTTATTTAGTGTGTTTATAGCACCTAGACCTGGATACTTTTAAATGGAGTATTTTGAGACAAATTAGGTAAATAAAACTTTCAAAGACTTTATTGAAATATGAAAGAGCATCCATAATTCAAAACATTTTTTTTTCAAAAAAGGTTCTGGTAAACGAACATGCAAATGTAAATTCATGTGTTTGGGATTATTCCAAATTAGAGAGTAAAGATTAGTTAAGTCGATTAAAATTTAAACGCATGCTATAATTAGCAATTAAGCATTTTACCCTGAAAGTCACCTTTCTGAATTGTTTTACAAGTTAAAATGCTTTTCCTTCTTGACCTGGTAAACCACACATTTATGGAGGACTGCTCGACCTTTGCACTCCCCGAGTACCCACGTTAAGACCTCAGAAATCAGATCTTGCCAGTACACAGAGAAGAGTATGGTCTCTGGAGAGTTCACGAACACTGAGCAAGCTCACGGCTCCTGTACAGCCAGGAATTCCAACATACTCATTTACAAGAACACTTTGTCTTCTGTGGACTGTAGACCAGAGTGCTTTGCTATAAAGATAGATCGACCAGCACTGTTGAGATCCTTCTCTGCCACATACTTATCACCTTTTATTGCTGTGTTCTCTCTTTCATTGAGACTGTCTTTTATTGTCCTTTATGGCTAATTGTTTTCTCAACCAACTAAATAGTGAGCTGCTTAGGGGCAGAGACCAGGTGTTTCTACTTCTCTATCCCAGTTGCATTGTGTTTGTTAAGTGAATGAATTCTGTAAACCCTAAAGCAACTTGACATGTAATCAAATCACAAGTGTCACAAAAATATAAATATGAGAAGAAAATGCAAACCCCTGTCACTAAAGTCTTGGTTCTCATTTAGGCTTCAATCACTGGGAATCAAAACCAGCTTGGCCAGAAGCTGCCCAGTGATTTTGTAGGGCTGCTTAATAATCAGCTACTCCTGGGTCACAGCTGGTGCGCTACTGCTTCCTCCCTTCCAAATGGGGTATACACAAGAACTGGGGAGAAGTAAATGACTTCAATGAAGAAAACTCTGCTTCCCTGGGTTTATACTATAATTTCAAATACTGTAGCATCAAACAGAAGCAGAGCACATTTTAAGTTATGGGAGCCTCAACTCCAGACTGGTGTGTGGACTTTTCCAATATCAGAACACTAGGTAAGACGGTTGCTTTAAGAGTCAAGTAGAAATTCTTCACTCTTTACCTAGCTCTGGTTTTAGCACACATGCACAGCTTCATAAATCCCACAAGAGCCTACGACACCATAGCTAATGGAGAGCATATCATTCCTAATGTAGAACTGTATCCATAAACGTAGAGCACGACCAGCTTCCTGCCGTATAATCAAGCGAGGCATTTTAAAATCAGTACCTAGCAAATAGTTCACTAAAAAGTGTGCTTTTGAGAGACATTGGGGATTGTTTTTATTTTTGGCAAGAATTTACATTAATCTTTTATAAAGTATCATTTTAAATTGTTTTCCATTTGTAAATAGAATAACCTGTAGAATTATTTTTCCCAGCCCTCATTCTGAAGCTCCTCATTATCCTCAAAGTCCATTTCAGCTTCAACATCATGCTGCATGCTTCCTTTACAAGAGTAGGATAGCTTGAGAGATACATTTGTAACTCAGTGAACTGTATTATCTACAATATATATATGACTTAGAGTATATTTAAATTATTGAAAATAAGGGACAAGTTGTTCTATTTTTCTTCATGGTGCTTTCAGGAAGACATCAGGATCTTCTCTTCTCCCTGAAGAAAAACAGTAACAAAAATCAACAAAACATAAACTTAAAAGCTACTAAGATTATAAGCTAACTAGAACTTACAATCATAAAATTCCAAATGCATAAAATTCAAAATGATACAACTCAAAGACATACCTCAAGTAACTAGTATTTAGAACTGAGTTATACTCTTTGTGAAAAGCTTGGTGGTGGCGAGGCATGTAGCGGATAGAGGGAGGAACAATATAGCATATTAACGGGGTGCTTTGGTGGAGGGCCAGTGAAGCAGGTGTACATATGCAAGGGTACCCCCAAATTACAAAGTTTTGAAAAAGACAAGTCAATACAACTTGGTTAAAATAAAATTGAGTTATACAGAATGAAATACGAAGCAAAAAAGAACAATTAGCCAATGGCTAAACTGGACTTCTAGTTACATTTCTAATAAAAATCTAATTTTATAGCATTAATTGACCACTTAAGTTTGTCAGTTTACATCTGAGTCTGGGTCCCTATTAAAAAAAAAAAAAGGATATAACAACTCCTTTTCTCTTATCGTGAGTATTTATTGTTTTAATCAGAGCATGTGCTTCTGCTCCAGACACGTGACTGAGCCCTTTCAGAAGGTGTGTAAACACTCACACATCTGATAGTAGCTAACACTGAAATGCTGGATGTGATCGCAAGTGTTCGCCCTTTAGCTGGACACAGGCTAAAATAGCATTGCTCTGGGGATGTAACCATTTGTGCCAGTGGAATAATAAAGTCTATTAATTTAATTTCCTTTACTACAATAAAATTTTATTAAATCAAGCACCACAAACTCAGAAATCTAGATCGTGCAGGAAAGGCCAACATTAGCCTTCCCATCCCTGAAGGGAAAATACAGTTCACTAAGCCAAGGTAAAGACAGCCTAGGTGGTCTGAATTGTCCCATCTTTCAAATTATTCATATCTGAATTAATGAGGTGAAGTGGCAGCTATGGATCCACAAAAGGGACTGGGGGGGAGATGATGGAACACGAGAGGTTGCAATGTTGTAGGTGCATAGAAGTTTTAATATCTCCACAGTGTTTTATTAAACTGTTACAGTCAGCACATTGCGTGTCAAGAGCTTCCTGTCCATTTGCTGGCTGCATCTACTTTCTCACGGGGTTCTCCTCTTTTTTTTTTTTTTAAGATTGCTCAATTGTCTATTTAGAAATAAAACAAGATCAGTCTAGAAGTACCACATTGTTTCTCCCATGCATGTGCTCATGAGTGTTTCCATGCTTATCCCTTCTCTTCTTCCTCCTCCACCTCCCCTCTTTCCTTTTCCTCCTCTTCTGATAATTTTCCTGTGTTAGCTTTGACCTCTTTGGCTGGGCCAGAGAAGGCATTCCCTAGGGGATAAAGGGAGAAGCTACGATGGCTCCAGAGGCTTCGAGAGAAACAGCCCTGTGGACTGAATACCATAAACCGTATGAAGGGCTCTTGACCTGAATGCCAAAGGAAAACAGCATAATCCGCCAGGAGAGATGTTGATTTCAACCATCAACATGTCCCCTTAGGAACTCTCCCCAGGACTCTTGATTTGAGCAGTAGTTTGAAGTGAATTGTAACAGGTTTTTATTAGTCCTCCTATGTATTTTTTTTAAGATTTATTTATTTTTGCATACAGAACTGGGGTACAGACCAGAGGCACTGGGGCAGTGAGAGCATTCACCAGAGACAGAGTGGGGAACAGAACAGGCAAATCGATGAACTACACTGCTGAGGGGAGCAGCAGGCAGGTCGGGAGAGGTCTGCTGAGCCAGGTGGGTCACCTCCGGGGCAGGCGGGGATGGAACTCATGCTAAAGTGGCTTTAGCTTCTTAGTGCTGTGCTTTAACCCGCTGTGCCACCAGGGAGGGCCCTCTACTATGTATTTTTTTCTCTCAATGTCTGGTGTCCAAGCCTCATGGCATAGCATTTTTTTTTTACATAACTTAGGAAACTTATGTAACTATACATAACTCCTATACCTATATGGTGATAGGTGAGTTGACTTATCACCCAGAATTTCCAAACCCTGTCAAAATTCACAGTTACCCATACCTGTAGTACCTTGTGTACTTCTAGCTGAGGTGGTCTTCTCTACTGGGTACTTCAGAGGTATTATAATACCTTGATCTGGCTTCTGAAATGCTGAAATGAGATTTTTTATTTTCCGGAAAAATCTTTTATGTACCCCAGGTGCTGTCTGGAAAATAAAAGGCCAAGCAAATTATTCACCTACCTCATAATGATACAAAAAGGCCTGCAAAATGTGTGAGGGGTACTTAGGTAACATTTGTGAGACTTGTTCAAATATTTGAAAACATAAGGAAGAAGGAAAAACAACATTCCAGAAGCGCTTACTTGGTTGGCTGAATTTCCCGGCAAGAAGAGCTAATGAGCTGTCATTTCAGTTCTCCCAAGGGTGGTATTAGTTTGTACAAGCTCTTGCTCACCACCCTGCCCTTACTGCCTGCTACCCATCATATAGTCTGAACCTCTAAGGGTATACAGGCCATTACCCACAATGAATTCACCAACAGAGAGGAGGCAGTTAAACACAGAAAAAAAACACAGATCCTACAGGTCATTAATTAAAAGCCTGAGGAACCAAAAACAGAAAGCCAACAACAACCTATCGCCGTGTTCATTCCACAATATAAAATGCTACATAGGAAATGAACATTTGACTGTTACCTTATACCCAATGTGTGGTTAGTTAGTCTTCATCCTCTTTTACCTCACAATATGTTCTGCCTCATGCTTCACATTTAATATTTTCCTCCTTGGTAAACTTCCCTGATCCTCCCCAAAATCGCTGTCTTTGTCAACATTTCACTGTGATAAGGTTTTCTCCATGACACCAAAATGAAACTCTCTAGAAGGTCACCTTTTTTATTTGTTCATTTTTGAAGAGATCATTATTTGCAGATAACTTAAAATTAAAATGTATTCCTTTCCTGACATCGATTCTCTTGCAAAGACACTGCCTGAAATTAAAAACAATTTCCTCTAAGAGCTTATGAGCCAAGCTCTTAGCATTAGCTCAAATCATGAAATAAACTTTACTGTAATGTACGACTGAAGAATGACTAGTTTGGGTGTTTTTTTGTTTTTTGTTTTTTTGAAAGGCAGTTTTTCAGTTATTCCATCTGGAAGATTTTTGAGGTGGGAGCTATTTGTTTGTTAGCCTTTAATGAGAAAATATGAAGGCTGACATGCAGACTTCTGTCAGACTAAAACCTGAAACTAACACACTATCCACAGCGTGTCCTATGTTTGGGTAAGAAACTTTTCACTGACAAGTTTCTTTTTCTGCCTTAAATTAGTGTCTACTCATAGGCTCACACAGCTAGGATCACAGTAGATGAAGTAGAACGCACACTCAGCTCCACAGCTATGGTCAAAACACCTCCCCAGAACTCTATTGAGTCCAAATAGACATAACCATTCTCACAGGAGTGAAAACAGTTCTTTGGTCCCAAGACACAATCTCCCAATCACAAATGGCAGCTCATAGGTAAAACCTCTTTCATATCTTCCTTACAGCACTTTTTTAATTTTCAAAGCACTTTCCTATCTCCTCACAGATTGGCAGTTACTGGCTGATTCTGGTTATTCCCATTTGACAGATAAGAAAACAGAAATACAAAGAGATAATTCAGTTGGTCCAAGGTCATGCAGATAAGCAGAGACAGAATTGGCTTTAGGTCCCAAAACCCAGTCTCCTGACTTTCAGATTAAAAACCAGGCCAACCAGGTTGAAATTGATGTCATCAACCAGACGAGAAACTATACACTCCCCCAGTGTGGAAAGATTTAAAACCACACATCTTTTTAGCTGTTCTTGTGGCTTGTAAAACCATTTATCAACAGAAGCATTTTTTTTATGGAGACTTAAATGCAGTTAACACTTGATTATCCTTAAGAACAGAGAAGAATAACAGCACTGGGTGTGTAAAAGCAATTTAAATTCGGGATGCAGGGTTTCATTGGCAAATGGCTGAGCTAATTGTGTTTAGGTTAGGGTAGTAAGTAAAATGATTTAGGCTCTACTGATCTACTGATGATCAAAAATCCAGAAGAGCCCAAAAGCACCAGTCAGCAAGGGGACGTTAATACATTTTTTACAATGTACTGCTGACAGGGCACAGATGCGTAAATGACAGAGCACTGTGTGTACAAGTCTCTAAATTAACAATTTTGCAAAATGTTAGCCTGAGTCACATGAGGTAAATGCATCGCAGGAGGCAATGCTCAAACCTGAAAGTTAATCTTTCCTAATTCTGTGGATTCAGGATGTGATTTCAGTCTACTCTTTGAAACACATCTCAGACTCACCTAGATTTCTAACCCTATATTTGCCCAAAGGTTGAAGTCCTACCACCATGATTTCTCCTGCAGTGTGGCAAACTAAAGTTTTTTTTCCAAAAATGAGGTAGAAATGTGTCGTTTGCCCAATTTTGCAAGTATGTGTACCACAAGAACTGTACCAGTGACAACTCGCTTCCTGTCACTGAACTCAGCTTTGTTCAGATTTGCACATTTCCCATACTGTCATCTTAGTTATCCATGGAAACATGTTTAGGATCACAGCTGGTCTTCAATATGCTCTAGAGTAATTTCTTCCAGTCAGGTGATATGGGCTCTGAGAATACACGCTAGGTTAATATTCACCTTAGCAAAAACCTAGTAAGAAAGCAAATTTGGAAGATAGAAAAAAATTGCAATGTGCATTTTAAAAATAAATCTTCAGAGTTTTTACAATCTGTTTTCCCTTTGGAGAAAACATGCCAATCTTCTGCTCTCTTGGTGCAGATAATTACAATATCATTACATAAACGGGTCACAACAGGTGATGTCACACATCCTCACAACAGGATGAGAGGACATTGGTGTTCAACAAGCGTTGTCTTCCTTAGTGTAATCACAAGCGTGTAAGAGTCTGCCTATGATATTATATTCAAAACAGAGGAAAACAGGTTTAAAATCAAGGTTAGCTAAGCCCCAATAATTTAAAATCCTTTCCATAAAGAATATTCTTCAGCAGCTACAGCCCACTTCTATAAAGAGAAGGGCTATTTCTGGTCAAATTTTATACAAATATATATGTATATGTCACATAAAACTATTCTTCATGAGAAATGAAACAGTTTCTTATTTGGGTCGCCTCTATAGTGACACAAGGATTTAAAAAAAAAATAAACGTGTGAATTCGATTACAAGTGATAATCGATAATTCTTTTTCTCTAATATTACAGTATTTGTTAACCTAATATAGAGAAAAATGCGTTTGAAAACTTACCCCAATTTATCTCAGCAGTTCAAAACATTGATGCTTTTCTTTTTTGTTTACTGAAGAATTTGTAAAGGTGAGAGCTATTTTAATTTTTTAAGTTTAGATGTTAGTGTTTCTTAAATGCACAGATTGCGTTAAGAGAAGTTGATATTAGCATTTAGGTTTCCAAACAGAATATAATGAAGCATTTTCATTATAAAAATGAGCTGTTTTAAAGGGTTGGAATCAGAGAATGCTTTGAAGGTCAAAAGTTTCCGTTGCGATGGTATAGTGCCTTCCATATGTTGTCAAAGCCATAAGAACCCATTTTTCTTATGTGCAGCCCCTGTTGATAAGCAAAAGGGAACTACTCTGGTTGCAGAGGAATTGGGAACTCAAAAACGGACACCCACATTCCCTCTGAAAGAACTCCATCCCGAGGCAACCCAGGAAGGAGAACCTTAGTATTCTGCAGAGCGTAGCTGAAAATCCACTGCCAGTGTTCCATTTATTTTTATCCTTTTTTTTTTCTGTCCTACATATCCTTTTCTTTCCCACAAGGCACCGCTAGAAGTTCTACCTCCTCCCAAAGGGTAATTAGGGTTTCCCTGACACTCAAAAACCCCCCTCTTCCCTTCTTTGAGCTCCTATGTTAGCTTAGTTGGAGACTACAAACTATCACATTGTTCTGCCATTAGGGGGAGTTCACATTTTTGAGGGCTTACTAAGTGCCAGGCACTGTGGCCAAGCGCTTTCTTTATGTGCATTATTTCATTCCATCTTCGGAATGAGCCCTCATGAGTAAAGGACTATTTTTTGGCTCATTTTATAGATGAAGCAACCAGCGCCAAGAAAAGTTAAATAACCTGCCAGGGGTCATAGATATCTTGGAGAGGAGAAAAGAGCAGTCCTAGAATCCAGATCCACTGGACAGTGAAATTCAGACCTTCACATTGCTGTTTAATTCATGCCATAATTCCCCCCAAGGTGTATTAGAAACTTTTAGAAAAGAGGAGCCATGTTGTTTAATCCATAGCGCCCAACTTGTAATTGCTGACTTAATTATTTTATATATTTTTGATAATGCTTTCGAACATTTTGCACAGACACTAAACGTCAAACACACTCCTTCAACTTCTTTTTTCTTTCTCCCAAAGTGAGACCATTCCATACAGTACTCACTAAAATGTTTCCATGTGATGAGGTCAAAATTCTCCAAAGGCTCCTTAATGATCCATGAACACTTTTGGACTGGCGCTTTAGTGATTTGAATCTGATGATTATTTTGGAATGTATGGTTTGATGGCTCTGTTATGAAACCAGCCTAAATTTCAAACACCTCCCTGATGCCCACAGAAGCAAAAATAAATAATAAAAAAAAGCTATATACCTCAGCACTCCAAGAACCTGTTTCTGTCTGGGACACTCGGTATGTATAAATGAAACCTTGATACCTGTGAAAGAACAAACTTCCATTACTGAAAAATTCCAAAAGAACAATGGATGCTCTATATTTAAAGTTAACTATTACATATAAATGTTACATGCATTGGGACACACATATATGGCACCTTTGCACTCATAGGAAGAAAAGCCTGAATATTACATCTGGCAAATCAGTTTCCAGTAAACCCTTATCTCTTCATTTTTTTAAATGTGGGAATTCACCTGCTGAGGGATTGGTTTAGTAGAGAGGCTGTTCAGACAGAAAGAAACTAGAGACCCACTGTAACTGGCAAAAATCATGAATAAGCAAATAGATTTAACAAAGTTTAACTTTTATGTGGTATTATTTTTTATTCAGGTAACATTGGCTTGCAATACTATATATGATCAAAGTGTAGTCCAATTATTTTTAAGGACAAAGAAAGCCTTAAGGTGAAAATATTCCACTTGGATAAGATATTATGAGGCCCACTTAAAGTAAATCATAATATTAATTATGAATATAATGTAATACCAGAATCCTAGAATACTACCATTGTTACTTTATAATGTTATAATATAGTAGTAATAATAATTTGAATTAAAAAATGGTTCTCATAAAAAATTTCCAGTGTTTCATCCTTTCAGATGAACTTGTATTTTCTACCATTGCTCAGTATGTATACACAGGTAATATTATAATATAGTAGTAATAATAATTTGAACTAAAAAGGAGTTCTGCTAAAATACTCATTAGCAGTTTGTTCTTTCAGAACTTATCCAAGTTTTCTCCATCATTACTCAGTATGTATGTACATGAACTATCCAGATTTCTACTACAAGTCAAGAGTTGTACATGTTGTGTTAGTTTGCTTGGACTGCCATGACAAAATACCATAGACCAGGTAATGCAAACAAAGCAGAAACATTTTCTCACAGTTCTGGAGACTGCAAGTACAAGATCTAGTTGCTAGCAACATAGGTTTCATTCAGAAGCCTCTTCTTTTGGCTTCTTTCTCGTGCCTTCTTTCCTCTCTCTTCCTTTTTTTTTTTTTTAAGATTTACTTATGTATGCACACAAGAACTGGGGTACAGGCCAGAGGTGCAGGGGCGGTGAGAGGATTCACCAGAGACAGCAGAGACAGAGTGGGGAGCAGAGCAGGTAGATTGACAAGGTACACTGAGGGAGAGCAGCGGAAGAGACAGGAGAGGTCTGCTGTGCCATGTGGCTGCAGATAGCTCTTTATCCCATTGCACCATCAGGGAGGGCCCACCTCTCTCTTCTTTTCCTTTCTTTTTTTTTTTGTTTTTAAAGATTTATTTATTTGTGCATACAAGAACTGGGGTATAGTTTAGAGGTGTGGGGGTAAGAGGATTCACCAGAGAAGAGTGGGGAGCAGAACAGGCAGATTGACTAAAAAACACTGCTGAGGGGAGCAGGGGGGGGGTCAGGAGAGGTCTGCTGCACCACGTGGGATCACCTTGGGGGAGGGCGGGGATCGAACTCATGCGGAAGTGGCTTTAGCTTCTTAGTGCTGTGCTTGAACCCGCTGCGCCACCAGGGAGGGCCTCTCTCTTCTTTTCATAAGGCCACCAACCCTATAAGATTAGGTCCCCACACATCAGACCCCATTTAACATTAATTACTTTCTGAAGGCCTAGCTCCAAGTACAGTCACATTAGGGGTCATGGCTTCAACATATGAATTTGAGGGGTCATGATTCAGGCCATAGCATTCCAACACTGGTTGCCAAAATTTATGTTCTTCTCACTTGCAAAATACCTTCATTTCTTTGCAACAACTCTAAAGCCTTAACACTCATTCCAGCATCAATTTTAAAGTCCAAAATCTTAAGTGGGCCTCCCTGGTGGCGCAAGGGGTTAAAGTGCAGTACTATGAAGCTATTTACAGCCACTGACACACCAGTTCCATCCTGGATCACTGAGCCACCCTCATGGCACAGCAGACCTCTCCTGGCTCACCCGCTGCTCCCCTCAGCAGTGTATTTCAGTACATCTGCCTGTTCTGCTCCCCACTCTGTCTCTGGCGAATCCTCTCACCTCCCACATCTGTCGCCTGTACCCCAGTTCTCATATGCATAAATAAATCAATCTTTTAAAAATATCTTAAGTCACATCTAAATATCACCTAGTCAGATATGGGTAGTTTCAACTCAGAATATGATTCACGCCCACAGAAAATTCCTCCCTAGCTGTGAACCTGTGAAACCAGATAAGTTATGTGTTTCCAAAATAAAAAGATGGGACAGGAATAGGATAGATAGTCCTATTACAAAAGGGAGAAATAGATGGAAAAAAGGGGTGATGAGTTCCAGGAAAGTCCAAAACCTCTAAAGGCAAATTCCATTAGATCTTTCTTAAGCTTGAGCATAATCTTTGCATGGGTGCTTTGCCCTCCAGGCCCACTGGGTGGCAATGTCACCCCCACAACTCTACAGGGGTGGCCCCACCCACTCTGCTTTTTGGGGCTCTGATCCACCTTAAAACCTACTTGGAAGCAGCCTAGACCCTCTGCGTCTGCAGTGAGGAATGGCAGCTCTGATCATCTCGAACCTGCTTAAGGGTAATTCCTCCCTTTGCTTGACAGATAAAGTGTATCTGTAGTCCAAAAGTTGCTCTGTTTCCTGTGTGGTTCCCTATGGTCCAAACTGACACTGTCTCTAATACTTTGGCCCAGATGTTATGATTCAAATTATTCCTGGCGGCAACTGAGATGGCTAGTTAACATCATGGGTAATCTCCTTAAGGACTGATTGTCCAGCCACACCCTTGGTGTTCAATCCAGAACACTCTGTCATTTTCCGCCATATGCTTAGATTGAGAACTATCCAAATCTGTAAGTTCTGGCTTCTTTTTGTTTCATTCTTTCTTCAATTTATCTCTCTCCCTTTGCATTTTACTATAAGCAGTCAGGAGGAACCAAGCTGCTCCTTCAAAACTTCACTTAGAAATCTCTCCAGCTTTATCACTTGCAAATTATACCTTCCACAAAATACTGAAACACAATTCCATGACGTTCTTTGCCATCTATATTTAACAAGGATGACCTTCCCTCCAGTTTCCAATAATGCATTCCTCATTTCTATCTGAGACCTCACCAGAATGACCTTTAGCTTCCATATTTCTATAATACTGTGTTCACGGCCATTTAAGTTTCTTCTAGAATGTTCCTCTGAACTCCTCTCGCCTCTACCAGTTATACCATTCCAAAGCTGCTTCCACTTGTTTTTAGTATTTATTAAAACAGGACCACACTTCTCAACACCAAAATCAGTCTTAGCTCACACAATCAGTCTTAGCTCACACTGCCCTAACAAAATACCATAAACTAAAGAAAGGTGTGGAGGCTGCAAGTCCAAGGTCAACGTAGGTTTCATTCTGAGGCCTCGTCTCCTGGTTTACAGGCATCTGCCTTCTTGTGTGTTCACATGTGCACACAGGAAAAAAAGACACCCCCCCCTTCCTCTACCTCCTCTTTCTCCTCTTCGACGCCTCTCCCTCTTTTTCCTCCTTCTTCCATCCTCTTCCTTTTCACTCTTCTACCCATCCTATGGGATTAGGGCCCCACACAGATGATCTCATTTAACTTTAATTACATTCCAAACACCCTATTAGGATTTCGACATAAGAATTTGATGCCGACATGACTCAGCCATAGCACATGCATTATCTCTTGTGGAGCCGACAACAACTCTATGAGCTTTATATTGTGAAATAGATTTTGTAGATGAGGAACATGAGACTTTGAGAAATTAAGTTACTAAAGTCACACTAGAGATGATCCAGCAAGCTGGAATTTGAATGAGGCCCATTTGACTGTGGAGACTTGGCTCTTCATCCCCATGCTGTAGTATTCAGGGTTATTTATTATATTCTCATATATATATAATAGTGCTACTCAACTTCTCTAACAACCTTTAATGAAAATGATTAGTCAGGTAAACTTTATATTTTTTAAAGATTATTTTCTTTTTGGGCCCTCCCTGGGGACTAAAGGGGTTAAAGCACAGCACCATGAAGCAGTCCACAGCCACTGCACCACGAGTTCAATCCCCAACCAGGAAGCTGACGCGCATGGAGCAGCAGACCTCTCCTGTCTTGCCCACTGTATTTCAGCAGTGTATTTCGGTCCATCTGCCTATTCTGCTCCCCACTCTGTCTCTGGTGAATCCTCTCATCACCCCCCTCTGCAGCATGGCCTATACCCCAGTTCTTGTATGCATAAATAGATCTTTTTTTAAAAAAGAAAAAGCTGGGACCTCCCTGGTGGTGCAGTGGGTTAGGGCATAGCACTACAAGCTAGCTGCATCCACTTCAGTACAAGTTCAATCCCCGGCCAGGGAGGTGATCCACAAGGCACAGCAGACCTCTCCTGTCTCACCTACTATTCCCCTCAGCAGTGTGCTATGTCAGTCTGCCTGTTCTGCTCCCCACTCTATCTCTGGTGAATCCTCTCACTGCCTCTGTACCTCTGGCCTGTACCCCAGTTTTATATGCATAGATAAATAAATCTTAAAAGAAAGAAAAAGCTGTCATTTTTTTAAATGATCGTTTTATTTTTGCATAGAAGAACTGAGGTGTAGGCCAGAGGTGTGGGGAGTTTTGGGGTGGTGAGAGTATTCACCAGAGACAGAGTGGGAGCAGAACAGGCCGGTCTCCTGAAATATACCACTGAGGGGGGCAGCATGGGAGAGAGGAGAGTTCTGCTGGGCCATGTGGGTCACTCCCTGGCCAGGGATCAAAATCAGGCAGTAGTTATGATAGCCCTGAGATTTAACCCTTAGGCCACCAGGGAGGCCACAACTTTATAACAAATTACTTCAAATTATGAAACTGAATCTGGGTGAACAGAGTTATTATTTAGATATTTTGTGATTATTATTCTTAGGCACAAGGTCAGCATAGACCTTTGGTTAGAATACACGCCAAACACTGGTAAAAATAATGTATTTCAGCTTCAAAGAACAGATAATGCTAAAGTGTTCCAAACAGGGCTCTCCCTGGTGGC